GATGAAAGTTTGGACAATCGTCTGCAGACATCGGCATGTAATACGTGTCTCTCCCCTTAATCCTGTTCTGGCCGGCGGGTTTGATGCAGCAAAAAGAGCGATGGAGAGGAGGAGGGGGATTCAGGGAGCCAAGTTTCATCTGTACACCATGATTGGCTCCACGGTGTGAATTGGTGGCGGCAGAATCATGCTGTGAGGATGCTTTTTTTCACCGGGAACAGGGAGGATGGTCAGAGAATATCGAACCACTAACAGTTTGAATCAAATGAGTTACAATGGTCCTGTCAAAGTCCAGACTCACATTTAATCTGTTGCAAGACTTGAGAAGTGATGTGTGCTGACTCTGTTCAGCTATTCCATCTGAGCTTGAGTTGTTTTGAGAAAATATTGGACAAGAATATTGGTTAGTCTTTAGATCTGCAGATCTGGAAGAGACAAAACCCAAAAATATTCTTGCCGAAATGGCACCAAAAGGTGGTTTTGCAAAACATTTACTAAGCAAAGATTAAAGCACACGAACGGACATTATCTGAAAAAAATAAAATAAAAATCATACTTCCGCTTTCAAAATATGTTTTTCTGTGTTGGTCTATCACAGAAAATCCCAATACAATCCACTGAAATTCCGCAGACTGTGACAAACATGAAGAAGTATTAATATTATTTCAAGCTACAGTATTTCCTGACATGCAAGCTGTCCCTCCTGCAGCTTTACAACAGAAATATCATGCACACAGAAAAAGCCCCAGGTGGTGGAAGCAAAAAGTCAATAAAACTGCAATTCAGCGATTGCATTCTGCCTGAGGAAGACATGAAGCGGAAATCTCCAAAACAAGAATTTCAGTCTGTTTTCCTTCTGTTGTTGAAAAGATGTCTGCTAACACAGAGCTAATAAAAAGTTTTAAGTTTTTAGACTAAAATATGAAAACCTTAAGGGTTACTTAAGATTTTTATGTTTTAGGGTTTTGCTCCCTGCTATAAATGTGATTTGTAAAATCATTTAATCAGATGATTGTTTTAGTTTGGGAAGGTAGTCAGAGCTTAATTAGTTTATTCTTTTAGAAATTTAAAGTCTAGGTGTTAGTTTTAGATAAAATTCACAATAACACTAAACAACAATAAAGGGTGTTGTTTATTGTTGTACAACAAAAAAACGTTATAAGTCTTGATAATTAGCAACAGAAGCCAATCCTGTATTTTCTCAGGAGCTTTTTAATTGATTGTTTCCTTTGATTATTTGACAAAGAGCTCCAAGTGTTTGAGGTTTGAAGACCTCCATGCCATCACCACAATCTTCAGCTCTTTCCACAGACTTCATATCTACAAAATGTTTTCCATTAAGACGGAAAATATTGGTAAAAACAAATATATCTAAGCAGCTTGTGTCTATGCATTACTTAGATTTAAGTCTGCTAGTATTTGAATACTTTGGGGTTTAAATATAATCTTTTGGATGCATCTAGTTGTTATTACTTCTACGTTGTTCTGTTTCTATGTGCTTAAAAGGCGATATAGATATATTTTCTGTATGTACTATTTGAAACATTTCTGTTTATTATTTTATGTATTTTTATCAAAACAATGCTCCCCAACTAAACAATTTGTTGTAAGTGTAACAGCATGAGACACACAAATGATCACTCCAGAATCAAAAATTAAACCCCATTGAAAACTGGGAAGCAGCTAACTTTGCTAAAGAAAATGAAACATAGAGACTAAATCCAAACTGTCTGGTAAATAATAAAAGTAAAGCATGATCCTGTCGTCTCCTCGCATTAAAGCACTTTAACCTGTTAGTGGCTGATTATAACACATGCTTAAAGCTATTTCCTTGGGAGTTACGCATCGAATGAAGACATCATTTAACTTTGGCAGGACTCTCTGCAAGCTGCTGAAGCTAATTTTAGTTTAACAAGGCTGTCGACACAGTTATGGCCTCTTGGGGCAGATTGAGGGAGTGAGAGGATGGCAGAGGTCACAATAAAGTAATCCTGACTGCACAGCTCACAGCCACAAATAAGTCATTACACTCTAACTCCAACATGTTTCTTTTTCTTTGGCATTTTTTTTGTGCAATCCTCACACCTGATCATTTGAGAACACACAGCAATGTTCAGACATAATGAATAATATGAAGAAGTAATTGCCCTGTTGCAAATTTCTAATGTTTCTGCTTATTTGAAGATCTAAATATAGTCTGACAAATAACACAAATGCAGTTTCAAAATTATTTAATTTATTAAGGAATCATAAACCTGTATGTGAAGCAGGCTAAAAGATGAAGTTCAAGAAAAAGGATGTTAGTCTGTAAAGTGTTAACAATATATTTCAGAAGCTTTGGAATGAATCACCTCAAATATAGAAATCATTGAAAAGTGATGAATCTTCCCAAAAATGCACAGCCAAGCAAAATTACTCCTCGAGTGTAACAACAATTTGCCCAGGCGTCACAACTTAAGGTTATATTCTGGTGAACCAGTTTAGCTTAGCAAAGAGCAAGTGGGATGGGGTGGGAGCACTGGGAGAAACAGAGGAGCTAGATTTTTCTTTAATTAAATATCTGTTTTATATTACACTATCACCACATAATGATAATATGTAAAAAAACAACAACATATTTTTAATAAAAGTTATGTACTGCAGCTTTAATTCTTATTTTAAAAAACATATTTTTCTCCCAGCTCACAATTATACACTACTTTGTGTTTTTGTATCATATAAATCAGATATTTAAAAAACCTTTTACGTGAATGAGGACATCTGAAAGGCCTGCAGCAGCTCGACGTCAGCCCATCTGTTTAAACCTGCGACGGCGCTCATGACTTAGTGTGATAAGGTTTCCTCATTAGTAGAGCCGGCCTGAATAATGCAGACAGGTGTATTGTTGTAGCCAATAGGCCAGGTGCTAATATGGCTGTCTGAGGGTGCAGGGTCAGATGCAGCATGACTTTAATGGATGTCGCCATGGGAGGATGAAACCAGACCACTGGGCTCATGTTGCAAACCATCCTGGATGTCTGTGGGAGAGTTTGGGTGTTGCTATAAATCCATTGGGGATTTATAGCAAAGTTTTAAGATGTTTACAAGGCTGTTAATTATAAAAATTTATTGCAACCCTTTACACAACTCACGACACCGTGGCCTTTGAAGCTCTAATAACCTTTTATTATTTAAATATATGCAAAAGAAAAAGTCTGAGGGCTTCATCAAAGCCATAATGAAAGGCTCTTCGTTTTACGGAGTTCACTTTGTGTGTTCCTCAAGACATCTTGAGGTTTTAAATATTATCAAAATATATCTTAGTTATTGTGTCTAAATTTTAGAATATTGTGAAGTTAGGAGGATAATTGAGGGAACAACATTAAATCAATAAGCAGCTGGTTCATTACGTAACTCAAGAATATGTAGCAGTTTTTCAGCGTTTAAAGTGCTTTGCATGAATTAGAAGAAAAACAAAAACAACACCAGCACAACAAAAGAAAAGCTTAACTTTAAAATGTTCCAGGTGTTGCTGGTCTGAAAGTCTTGAGCCGTCCAGATGTTTTATAGATAATTGTGAGGTTTATGTTGTTCCCATGTTTTTTTTTTTCTTAATTAAGATTCATAAACTCTAACCTGCCACAAATACTAAAGCTAGTTAGCATAGCCATCAAACAGTTTTCCTGTCAGAATAAGATGTTTTTCCACCATTAGCTCATTCAGCATCATACAGGAGATTGATTGACAGCGCTTAGGCCCTCCCCCTGACTCCGATTGGTTGTTTTTGACAGGCAGCGGTGCAGACTGCTCTCATATTATACTGTCACAACATGGTGACAGTTTTAAATGAAATTTGTTTGTAAAAGTTACAAAATGCAGCTTTAATCTTCAGTCTCACTGAACCAATATTTGAAAGACACCTTCCTTCAGCTGCGGTGCTTCAGTTGTGACTCTGGCTGTAAATTCCTGCAGGACAGATTATGTTAGGATTGCTCTGTATTTTGCTGCTTCCCCGTCTCTGCTGATGACAAGCGTTCCCACAGCATGATGCTGCCACCAACGTTTCACAGAGGGAATGATGTGTTCAGCATGACTGTAAATCTTCTACGAAACACATTCCTAGTTTGCTGTTGGCATAAGTCTTTGCATTTCTGTCAGGCTCTTTTAGATGAAGGATTGAACTGTGCTTTGAGATATTAAAAGCTTGGAAAATAGTTTTTAGCTCTAATTTTGATTTAAATTTCTCCACAACTTCATCTCTGACCTCTCTCTTGTATTTCTTTCTTAATGATGCCTGTTCACTGATATCCGCTAACAAGATGCTGAGGTGTTTAAAGAATAACTTCATACTGAGATTCAATTACAAAAGAGTGGCTCTTTCTACTAACGAGGTGACGTTAGATTTTATATTTAGAGATGTCGATGCGGCTGAATAAAAATGGACTTCACACTTTTGGTATTTTATTTGTGAAAAATATGCATTCATTTGTGTTTGTTTATCTCATAAAATCCTTGCAAAATACAGTGAAATAGTTCTAATGTGACCAATATTTTCAGCACTGCCTCATTATTTTATGGACATACTTGCTGTCAGAGTAACTCTTATATTACTGAAAGCTGAGGCTTTTGTGACAGTCTAATGTGGTTTATAAAACATCCATTAGCACAGAGTTGTGCTTTTATTAGGCTCCATTGTTCTGCAAAAGATGTGCATGCAAAGAGTATTTGAGCTCATTCGGCAGCCTTTGCCTATGACTGTCAAACAGCTGTCAGGATTTCTCTTCATCCTGCTGTTTCACCACATCTTTCTCATTTCCTCGCCCAAAACGTCCATGCAGGAGTCAGTTCACATTAACCTCAATCTCTCCTCACCTCCACACAATGTTTCATTGAGTCTCTGAAGCTGTCAATCTGCGTTGCACCTTTGTGTCTGCCTCCCTTTTTTGTTCTCCTCACATAGCTTTCAGTGAACACTGTCAACGTTTTATTTTTTTGAGGGAGGGAAGAGTATACCTCCAACCCAAAAGTCTAAAGACAGGTGGACACCAGCGGAAACATCCAGGATTATAGAGAGAGAGATGTTGCCAGAGCCGGCTTTACTGCACCTGAGAGACGAGAGAAAGGAGGATGGTGTGTGCAGCGAGACAAGGAAGCATGACTGAAAAATGACCGGAAGTAAACAGAGAAGAAACGGTGACAGAGAGAAAAGAAGAGCAGAAATGACAGCCGCATTATCACTCTGCCTCCTGATTCAAACACCACAAGTAAACGCTCTGCTCTGGCTCGTCTCATTGGCTGCACCTCCGGCCAATCATAGCTCGGGAATGCAAGGTGCCTTTAGGTTATACCCAACCCCAAAATATGAGGGAGAGACAGAGAGAGGCATGCTGTAGTGCAGAGGTTCCTCCAGTGAGGCGAGCCTCCATGTCTCTGGTGTTCCTCCTGCATCACAGAGAATAAATTACAGGCTTCCTTGCAGCAGCTTGAGTGCATGTTGTGTTGCAGCTCAGGCTGGTGGGTTTTCTCCTCCGTCAACAGCTGGCTGAGCTGAGTGTCGAGATCAGAGGCAGAGCAAGCTTCTTGCAAGGACGAGGAGGACGAAGAGGGGAACCAGGTTAGGGACTAGAAAAAGTGAAAGTTGTGATGGTGATTGGGTTTTTCCACCTTGAGTTTTACGAGTCAGAAATGTAGGACGCCAAAGATTTGAGTCATCCCTTCAGCAGACTGAGGAGTAGAGGAGTGAAACGGGAAGACAACGTGGGAAACAGAAGTGGAAGGATTCAGGATGATCCTGGGTAAGACTGCAATTGAGAGCTCTTGCTTCTTTTTACTGCTATTGATCTGACTGACTGGCTTCTCGCTGGCACACAGCTTTCTTTCAGAATGATCACTTAAAGTTTCTGCTGTCCTATCCAGCTCATTTTATAACATTTTCAGGATTTTTTACCTTCCATGAATCGCATGGCTTCAAGATTGTGGATTCTTTTGAGAATGTGGGCATTGTTTTCTTACAGGTTGGGTTACAATTTAAGTTCCTCCAGTGATCAAAATACATCAAACCTATTAAAACCGGGATTACACCCAATTTAATTTCACCACATATGAGCCAAATAGGTTCATTTCAACAACATGCCCTTTATCTGAGTTACCTCTTTTGTTCTGTTTTCACTTTTGATGAACTGTTTCATATTTTAATGTCTAAGCTTATGTTACCATATGCATGGAGCTATATATGGTAATATAAGGAAACTAGAAACCCGTTGTGGCTCTTCAGGTCAAGAACGTCACGTTTTGTGAACATAATCTTGTTATGTCTATTAAAAAAGCGATGTCACATGAGATATTATTTTTATATCATGTTTTAATGTTTCTTCATCAAAAACATACCTGGAGTTCTCTATAGCAACCATTTGAGGTGCTTAAGCTCCTACTCTCACAAAGCGCCGCCCTTTTTCACAAATCTCCTCCTTGGAGTTGCAGTTTCCAGCTGTGCTCCACAGAGCCTCTAAACTCAGCTCCTCCAGACTAGTGGCAGCAGCAATTAGCTGAGCTTATCAGACAAACTACTTCTCAGTCCAACGCTTCTGAGAATGGTTATCAACGGCATCATGGAGTAGCATTGTTGAGATGACGTTTTGTAAAGATCAGGAGCTTCTAGAGGTTTTTGAGGCCTAATTTTAAGGAATCAAATTACAAAGTCAGATTTCTTACAAGTCATGTTTGATACATGCAGCATTTTTGTAGCTAGAGGTAACATGATTACTTGATTTGTACAAACAAAAATTTCAGAATAACATCACAAAATGACCCTACAGACATCAACTCTGAAGATGTATTGTAGAAGTAAAAGAGTCAGCTTCTCTTTCAAAGAAAACATCCAAGCTGCCAAAAACCTTGTGATGAGATGGAGATTTACTTTTTGTCATTGCTAGAAAAATCACATATAGTTCAACATTTCAGTCTACAGAAGAAGATTACTTTTAGTTTTTAGTGACTTTAATCTTACACTGAAAAGAAACTGTAAATTTAGGTTTTGGAATGATTTAAATCTGAATCCAACAAAGCATCTGTGAGTGAAAAGGACAAGAAATGTTCACTCTGTGTGAAATGTGGGCTGCTGCCAATATCTGAAGAAGAATAAGAGCTGAATGTGAAAGAAAATCTGCTTCGACAAAGTAGAAGTGAAGCTGGCCCTGATTCTTTTCTGCATAAGAAACATGTTGAAGTCGGGCATTTTTTGACAAGATTGGCTGCCAAAGTCATAAAATCCTGAAGAAAATTTTACCTCAGTCGTCACACGGACAGTCGATGCGTCACAATTAATTAGCAAGGACTCAAATGAAGATTGTTGATGAAAGGAGGTTAAATGATGACATGCAGCCTCACTTCCTGTCAGCGGTCAGGCAGTTTAATTTTTACACCCCCGTCACACCGTTGAACATCAGCATCGCATTTTAATCAGGCATAAAGAAATGTCAATGGCGTCAGCAATGACATTCCACTTCCTGTTTTCATTTTGTAGCTTAAACCAACCATTTCATACCCATGTTTTTAAAATGATGTATCAGAAAATATGTAGTTCATAATATTTATTAAATATGGAGATAGATGTTATTTGAAATGCTAAATTTTGTGACATTTTTTCTTTTAATTTGAAGTGTTAAACTGAATTACTATTCATTTTAATTCTGGTCCTCATCTGATTCTTCGAAAATAAAATATGTCAGATTATGAACCCTTATGAATCCATAACAATGTGATGTGTGGTTCTGCTGTTTGACAATATTTACTAGCATTATATAACCAAATGGTGTTACAGTAAATGAGTGGAACGTAATTATTTCTGAAAAGGGGTGAAAAAACAATAACCCCTTTTCAGGTATATATGTATATATACTCTCTGTTTGCACCGAGAAGGATTTACTAACCCCAACATCCAAAATTATTCTTGAGCTCCTTCAATATATTTTCTGAATATTTTACATAATTATGATTTGAACACAAGAGGACTTTAATCAGAGTTTTAAACTCTCATCCTAAGATGGTCTGGGAGAGTCAAGGATTCCTCAAACATGCATGATGTTTCTGATGAAGGAAAACACTATAATATGATGCAAAGGTCAAAAAAGTCAATTTGGCAAAACAAGTGAAGGATGTAAATGAGAAAATATTGGGGAAATTGTATCAGGACAGCTGAACCTCATTCAAGGTTGATCAGATTCTCTGTAATTGTTTGCAGATTAAAAGTCAATAAAATTGGAAGCTGAAAGTTCATCTGAAAATTGATTTAAGCCAAGTATTAGCTTAGGCAAACAGGTGATTGCAGTTTCTGCTTTTCCCATTTTTCTCAGCAACACATTTATGCTGAATTATAGAGTCACATCATGGCTGATACATCACAGAACCTGGTATTTCAAATGGGTTATGTGAACTTTTACATTCACTGTTTAAACATGCAAACATGGAAATATAACTTGCGATAAAGAGGGAAGCAATTTAACAATATACACCTATAAATGCAGATAAATTGGGTTTGGTGTCGTAGATTGTCCTCCTCATTTCATCGACAGCATTTAATTAGAACCAGTAGCATTGTTAATTTATAATCCACATCCTTGTGATCACTCCCAATGTCTCATCTCGTCAGTGTATTAATAATAATCATAAAAATAATGAGTCCAGAATGAAGCTACTCAGTAAATTTGATTAACTGCAGTGACCTTGTTCAGCGTAGGTGTTCGCTGACTAAATATTTGCTTTATTCTCAGCCCCACTCGGGTCTTCCTGTGATCTGGCTTTAAGCTCCAGCTCGCGGTAATCCCTTTCCCGGTGCGGAGGCTTTAACGCTACGTGTATTATAAACACTGAACAGACAAACTCATGAACCTGACAACGTGCGTAGGTGGAAGTCCGTGCACTGTATTAGTTTCCTTATAGAGTTAGACGCAGGCACCAAAATAGCATCAATGACATTGACTGCAAAGATGGAGGGATGAGCACCTCTCTTCACACCACCGTTTTATCATTCCTCGCGTTCTGCTAACCCTTCCTCATCCATCTGTTTCTTTGATGAAAGGAAAATATAAAAATGGTTGAGACCGAGAAATTTGTGCCGAAGCTGGCTCCCTCGATGCAAAGAAGAGTGGAGCTCAGTTTAGTAACTCTTGTGTGATTTTTTCATGATGAATATTTCAGACCCATGGGTTTTTATTTATTTAAAAGTGAGCCGAGGCTTCCTCCAGTCTGATGCAAAGACCCCACTCAGCAGTATGTGAAACTTCACTGCTTGCATCACAGCTTGCTGAACCAGTGTCTCTCTCTGTCTCTCTCTCTCTGTCATACACACACGCATAGATAAAAACAAATCACAGATTGCATAAATTCTGTGTTTCTGTATGTTTGTTTATTTACAACAGGCGCACGAACACACAGGCATTTCAAACAAATATGTCCTTGTCCCGTAAATGTCCTCTGAAGAAATCACAGGTACACGTTGTCCCTGACGAACAGGATGACCTTTATCAGGGCGATGCAACGAAGGGTGAAATGTATTGACATTTAAATTGGAGAAATATTCGCGTCACTCTGCATGTCTGACAAACCAGTGAACATTTCGGGCGTCTGGGTAGCTTGAAATTTGAGCAAATTGTGACAAGCTGTTCAAATACGTTAGATAAGGGAAGGTCAAATCAAAACGGTGAACTTGCAGACAAAATACAGGTATCAGAATCTTACGCTAATTCTGACACCGCAAATCTAAATCCAGAGCAACCTCTTACCTATACATTACCTCGTTAATTCATAGAAGTGACATGTGTCATTTAATCTCAGTTTACATGCTGCTGAACTGTTCAGCCCAAAGGATTGGGCTAGAAAACATGAACACACAAAAGTTTGGGGATGAAGTTTTGGAGACATTCAGAGGACGTCACTAAACAGGAACTGGTTTCACAAAAGCCTGGCAAGAAAGAAACTATTTTTTAAAGACAGGCAATACCAAGACCTTTTTGCAGTTTGAGGCAAACCGGGTAGAGGACGCAAGAAACTTGTGGAAGAAGAAACATTGGAATAAAACCCATCAGAAGCTGCAGAAGACTTAAATCTTCATTTTCCAGCAAGAACAACAAAAAAAAAAAAACATGCAGCCGGAGCTGCAGCACACCCAGCACCAACCCTTCAGAATGAAACGGCGAGGAGATGATGGCCGGGTGGAATGTTTCAGAGAAAGTCTTAGGGATGTCATTATATATGCACATCTGATGTCACACTAGATTCACTCTTATTTTGCTCTCCTCTCATCTGCTTGCCTTGTTTTCTAGAAAGAGTGTGATTTCAAGGTCAAGTATAAAAAAATCAACTGGAAATTAGTAAAAAAAAAATGTGTTTGCTTTGACATTTGCAGCCCAATAATGCAAATTTCAAAGAAAATGTGCAAACCAGTTGGGCTTGCGGATAAATGGATGTGAAAATAACTTTGAGTGAAGAAGCTGATTGTTTTATCACGTTCACCCGGTCGCTGTGTTGTCACTGCCAAAACGCTTGTCAACATCCTTTTTTGTATGCTGACTCTGACAAGATGTCATGTGGCGCCATGTTTACACACCTGTAAAAGCAGCGGGAACAAAAAAGCTGCTGGTGCAACTCCGCTGGAGCCAGAAGGGAAACCTCTACCTTCATTTATCACTTTTAGGACGAGAGTTAATATGGATTGAGTCACTTTCTGAACATTCAAGTATAAGTGGTACAAAAGTTGATTAATGTTTTATATTTGCAAACGCAAGCAAGACAGCTGAGA